CATCTTTGAAACACAAATGGAGATATTTTGATGAAACCTGAGAGATTTGTGTCGTTCCACTGTAAGTCCATTCCACCAAAGCATTCAAGCTTTAAAAAAAGTTAACAAAGATATTAAAAGCAAACCATGTAAACGTAGTGATTTAATCCAAGTCTCCTGAATATAATGAACAGATTTTAAACATTGATCAACACATATCTATAGAGCACATCAAATATGGTAAATAGAAACACAACTTTAAATGCTTGACACGCGAGAACAAACCTCACTGGTTCTTCTGGATCAAGAAAGCACATTTTGGTAGAATGGACTTTCAGTGAACAGAACCCTGTCAGATTTCAAAGTATCTTTAATTTGTGTTTCGAGGAAGATACACAGAGGGTGATGGGCTTTAACTTTTTCCACCCAGTAAGTTTGATTGAGTCTTTTGCACATTTGAGAAGATGTGAGTCCTGTGCAGATGTTTAAGACATACTTGTAGTTTGTTCGAATCCCCAACCTTCAAGTATGCTACTTCAAATCAAGTGACTTGCTGAGGAGAGGTGTGCTCTTGCTTATTACATTACTTATTCACTCAGACTTATAATTTAGGTCTGACAGACAATAAAACAAGCAAACATTTGTATTTTTTTTTTACGTTGAATGAGAGACCCGAGCCATATCTAGAGACCTGGAAGTTACAGAGACTTGGGTATGTGCTCTTTTGACTCTTTTGACCAGTACTTTTACATTTATACATTTGGCAGATACTTTTATCCGAAGTGACTTGCATTGCATTCATACATACAAGTGGAACTCTTTTTCTTTAGATTTTCTTTTCTTAAAATTCTTAAATCCATTAAGCTAGCAATGCCCTTTAAACCAATCAGCAACCACATACTGTAGCATCACAGCAAAAACACTGATTCTCTTGGTGAGCACACTTAGCATTACCTGATTACATAATAAGAGTCTTTTTTTAGTTTGTTTGTTCTAAACCATACTGTAAATCTCAAGAACATTGGGTTCCTGTTTATGAATCCGTAACTACTATGTACTTACATTTTTTAAAATGTACTTAGTGTGTAAATGATGGTTTATAACACTCTTGTGAGATTCACATTTACATTTGCTGCTATTTTGTTTTGAGTTACACTTTGTTTTACAAGTACGTGCATTTACAGTAACGTAAGGTAACAATTGACCAAAGTATACTTTGGTTTTATATGTATGCTAGATTTCTCTGCATACTTGTAAAACAGTTAAATAAAGTGCTACCAAATTTTGAATATTAGAAGTTTAGTGGACAGTCGACAGCGTAATAACATGTGTAATAACAAGTGTAAGCACAATGTAAGAATTAATATATTGTATCAAATTCTTTTTCATAAAGTAAGTGCACTTTTAAAAATAAAGGTTCCAAAATGTTGTTTTCACAGCAATGCCATAGAAGAACCATTTTTTTTAGTGGACCGTTCTTAAATAAACCATTTTATGCATTTTAATAATCTAAACAACCTTATTTTTCTCCTATAAAGAACCTTTTCTGCTATAGAAAGATTCAATGGATGTTAAAGTTTCTTCATGGAACCATCAGTGCCAGAAAATAACCTATATTTTTTAAGAGTGTATATTGTACGATGTCTGTCATAAATTGGGACCAAATTTAATTTTCACTTGTTAAGGTTTGTAGCAAACAGAACAGAATACAAACTTAGTCTTAAGGTTGTTGAATCCTTTCCAGCCACCTGATCATTGGCCTATGTACTTACATTTTTAAAAATGTACTTAGTGTGTAAATGATGGTTTATAACACTCTTGTGAGATTCACATTTACATTTGCTGCTATTGTGTTTTGAGTTACACTTTGTTTTACAAGTACGTGCATTTACAGTAACGTAAGGTAACAATTGACCAAAGTATACTTTGGTTTTATATGTATGCTAGATTTCTCTGCATACTTGTAAAACAGTTAAATAAAGTGCTACCAAATTTTGAATATTAGAAGTTTAGTGGACAGTCGACAGCGTAATAACATGTGTAATAACAAGTGTAAGCACAATGTAAGAATTAATATATTGTATCAAATTCTTTTTCATAAAGTAAGTGCACTTTTAAAAATAAAGGTTCCAAAATGTTGTTTTCACAGCAATGCCATAGAAGAACCATTTTTTTTAGTGGACCGTTCTTAAATAAACCATTTTATGCATTTTAATAATCTAAACAACCTTATTTTTCTCCTATAAAGAACCTTTTCTGCTATAGAAAGATTCAATGGATGTTAAAGTTTCTTCATGGAACCATCAGTGCCAGAAAATAACCTATATTTTTTAAGAGTGTATATTGTACGATGTCTGTCATAAATTGGGACCAAATTTAATTTTCACTTGTTAAGGTTTGTAGCAAACAGAACAGAATACAAACTTAGTCTTAAGGTTGTTGAATCCTTTCCAGCCACCTGATCATTGGCCATGGACATGGTGTGAGCTTTTTTATTTTTAAATAAGCTGCACAATAATGAATCCAAGAGCAGTATGAGCTGATCCGGAGAGCAGAAAGACTGTGCTTAGTTTGTGCCGTATCTCACGACTCTTTCAGCCCACATCTGGCTTTTACAGGAATGTTTTGTCCATGTGAAAGTGGTTTACCCGACAGATAAACACACTGCACACACAGATACACACACGTGCTCCATATGGTCAGGAGTCGCCAGCACTCTTCACAGTGCATTTCTTCCTGTGTGCGGTGAGAAGATTATCATCATGAAACTGGTTGAGTTTGAACTGAAGTAAAGCATGTGAATCTTATTGTGCTGTAATGTCAGTTGTGAAACTCTGCCTGAGTCCTTGAAGCAAACATTGTTTCTTATCGGTCCGTTCCTCTGAGAACATCAGACGTCCTTTACACTGAAACAGAACAGCTTTTCACAAACCAGAACTCTGGCTTCATCCAGAGATAAATGAAATCACAGTAGAATACAGCAATTGTTGTAAACAATTTACAAAAATGTTCATTTTGAGTTCAACTAAATGATATAAAACTCGTTCTTCTGTAATCTAAAAGAGGCCCACCCTAGTGATCAACAGTGTGAACTACACTGCTTCCTGGACGTTAGCCAATCACAACAGAGCGTATTTACATATTGAAATCTGAAAGAGACACTACAGTTCAAATGTTTTGTGTCAGCAAGATAATTTTTTCAAAGAAATTAATGTTTAATTAAGCAAATTGATCAAAATTGACAGTGAAGGCTATTACATTAAAAATCAATTTCAAATAAATGTCGTTCTTTTGAATTTTCTATTCATTAAATAATCTTGAAAACATTAAGCACGGTTTCCCCAAAAATATTAAGCAGCACAACTCTTGTCAACATTGATAATATTAAGATTGATTAAAAGTAAATCAGCATATTAGAATGATTTCTGAGGGACCATGACTGGATTATACGGGTAGCTTCTGAGGCTACGTTTTCATTTTAAAAAGCATACGTTTTGCTCCGGTTACGCCTGTCAGTTACACTACTCCAGCTTTTTCCCTCAAAAACGGAGACTTTCGAAAGCGCCCGTTTTAGTTCGAAAACTCCGCGGTCGTGTTTCCGTGTAAACGGACCAAAACGGAGACTTATGAAAACGGCAGCTGCCCACATTCGCTCTGCGTATCCTTGACGACCATGTAAACGATAACATCATGCTCACCGTTGCACCTGCATGAATGGTCATGTGACATGCGTTTTCGGTTGTGTAGTGTGGACGGAGATCGTTTCTGAAATGCAGTGAAAACGCCAGTGTAGACGAGGGTCATTTGCGTTTTAAAAAGGCATGTAAACATGGCCAGAAATGTGGCTTTGTCATTACAGGAATATATTATGTTTATCTTCAAATAGAAATCAGTTGTTTTAAATTGTTTAAATTTAAATTCAAATAAATGTGTTGGTGAGCTTAAAGGCCCGTTCACACCAAGGACGAAAACTATAAAGATAACCATAAAGATATAGTTCTAAAAATCGTTCTCAATATTAAAGAATGGCAGAGTCCACGCCACAGCTATAACGATAACGATACAGAGAAACGATATCGTTGGAATCACTTTCAGGACGATTTTTTCCAGCTGATGAACGATAAAAACATTGACAGCCAATCAGATTCAATCCTGCTGTCACGAGCTCGAGAATTTAAAGCGGCAGATGAGCGTGCGCTTAAAATAAATAGACGATATTGGTGCATGTGGACGCTAATATCGTTATCTTTATAGCTATCTTTCTTGATGTGAACGGGGCTTAAGAGCTCAGTTTTACCGACCCAAACTTTTGAACAGTAGTGCTATGAGCCAAAGCATCCAGTATAATTGTTTGGCTCAGATAGCAGATAGAAATTTGTCACGAAAACTAAATTCTGACTTGTCTAGCTAACATTAAAAGTGGACTTACTTGATTTGCCTGTTGTCGGTGGCCACACTGAAGCCATTTTAAGGCCAGTATTTTTTTTAGTAGGACAGGGAAGAGATTTCCTGGTAAACACTTTTCCGTGCTGCGTTCTGGCCAGCTGTAATTGAGTCATTGTGTTTGTGTGCCGTCTTTGTTTAACCTGTTTTTCCTCAGACAATCAGAAACAAAGCCGCATTTCGAAACACTATGATTTGCCATTTTAGCATGAGGATTAGAACCTGCATTAATGAATCTGTCTGGTTTTGTACAGACAGACTTTTAAGTATCTGCATATAGCCTGGCTATTTGCCAAAGAACAACCCATTTAGATAGAAACGACCTTCTAACTGACATGGAAAGCAACCAGTCACGGGAAATGTGTCCTGTAAACTTTAAAATGATGGTTTCTGTCCATCTACAAGTAACAAGTACAACTCTAATTTAGAATATAAAGTATCTCTCTTTGTAGATGCCTGATTCCTCGTAAATGAAACCAGCCAATCAGTTTAGAGCTTGCCAGATGGAGAAAGTTCTTGAATTCTGCTCGGATGAGTGAAGGCTGTGTCTGAGCGTGTTTGTCGTGTGTTTGTGGCAGTGCTGAGCCAGCAGGCCCATCAGCAGCACCTCCAGCAGCAGCAGCAGCAGGTCCAGGTCCAGGGCCCCCAGCAGCAGAGCTCTCAGCCCATGATGAGCATGAGCGGCCCCATGAGCGCCCAGCAGCACCAGCAGAAGATGAGGCTCCAGCGCATCCAGATGGAGCGAGAACGCATCCAGAGGAGACAGGAGGAGCTCCTGAGACAGGTGAGTGTCTGCTGGAGAAACAGTCCACCAGAACTATTACAACAAATATAGCGTAAAGGGCAAAACAGACATGCAAATAACAGGATTTCAGAAAGGTGACAGACAAAGCATTTTAATCCAAACATAAAAAAAATATTATTTTCATGCTGCTGTGAAGAATAATTTGTTTCTTGATGCCTCAAACCCCAGCAGTTGTCGCCAGCATGCTCTTAAACTGTGATTTTAGGGGAAAAGATTACAATTTCCGGAAAAAAAAAAAAATCTATAAATTTAATAATTCCAGTAAAAAATGAACTTGTTAACTGAAAATTTTAACTTTGACAAACATAAAAATAAAGTGTGTATAAAAACGAGTGCTGGCAAACGATTACTCGCGATTAATCGCTTCCAAAATAAAAGTTTTTGTTTACATAATATATGTGTGTGTAGTGTGTATATTTATTATGCATATATAAATACACACACACGCATGTATATATTTAGGAAAAATATGTTATGTTTATATATTAGATATATTTATAAATAATATACGTTATATGAATATACATATATGCATGTAAATATTTTCAAAATATATACATGCATTTGTGTGTATTTTTATATATACGTAATAAATATACACAGTACGCACACATATACTGTATTATGTAAACAAAAACTTTTATTTTGGATGCAATTAATCGCGATTAATCGTTTGACCGCACTAATAAGAACATTTTTATATTTGAAGAAATGTTAACTTACAACCTAAAGAACCTAAAAAAAAAAGTAAAAAAAAAAAAAAAGAAATGCTGCCTTGTCAACTAACTGAAATAAAGTTTGTTGCATTACTAAAATAACTAAATCTGAAATAGACAGACGCTTTAAATAGAAAAAAAGCTAATACAAATTACAGAAGTACAACAAAATGACTAAACTGTAAATTAAAAACTGAAAATATAAAAAAGGAAAGGTAATTCAAACTAATAATAATTAAAAAAGTTATTTATAATAATAATTGTTGTTGTTGTTGTTTATAATTAAATAAAATTAAATAAATAAAATGTGTATAAGAAGTTTTCCAAAAGAGAGACATAGGGTCTCAAAATATGACTTGTAACACAAGAGCCAGTTAAAAAAAAACGTCTTGTGTGAAGTTTGACGCCATCTAGTGTTACAGAAGCTGAGCGACATAAATCAAAGTTGAGGTTTATAGAAATGATTCAAAGGAGAACACATCAGTCCAGCCTCGGGAATCGGCGGCAGACGGACCTCACGCAGCTTGTGTTTATATGAAACATCTCTGACTCTTCGGTGACTCTGTTAACTCAGTTTGTGATGCTGGACATGTTTTTCTGTGTGAGGACACATGCTGTTTGCATATGTTTGTGGACTAAGGCTGAAAAAAGAACAGCTTTAAAAAAAGATGAGTCAGACATTGGTTTCTGGATCTGGACGTCTTCCACGCTTTTCTTCTGGACTGAATTCTTGCAGCTGTTTTTGTGAACGCACTCCACCCTGAATCTCGTCTATATATAAACAGCCTGAGCTGCTCTGACCAGCGGATTTATGAGCTGAAATCTGGAGTTTATCGTTTTATAAAACCATTTACATTAATTCTTATGATAAAATATTAAAACTTAGTTTATTAACGCTTAGTTTATTGTCTGTCTGTCTGTCTGTCTATCTATCTGTCTGCCTGTCTGTCTGTCTCTCTGTCTGTCTGTCTGTCTGTCTGTCTCTCT